TATGTGGATTAAAAAGTAGTCTTGATGAAATGAACAAAAGGTAACTGATTTATTTACTGGAAAATTTTATGCATTACATGATATTCAGTTGGTAAACATAAAACCAAGTGTAAGAATTGATCCGTTGGCTTCTGCTGACCTTCTTAGCTTTCCCCACCCCAGGTGCATGATGGGATCACCCATATACCAGCGCATCTTACACGGTTCTCCCATAAGACACTCACCGAAGATTGTCCACAATAAAAAAGTAAAAACGACCAGCAATAACAAAGTCATAAGAACTTTAGTTGAATTGAAAATAAATGCATGTGTGTTTGAGAATGTTTCCTTTGAACTTTGGAGTTTTAAAAATAATTAACAAAACAGTTTCTTCGATCAGTCTTTTAGTAACCTATTCATATGACATCATAATTAGGTGGAAACACTTCACATCATTGAGCCCCAGAGGGCATAAGAATAAAACTGCAATTAAATGTAGGAACAGCTGAATCATTACAATAATCACACGCAGTACAAACCAGGGCTGGCCACACGTGACACAAATGTTAGCACTGCCAAGAAATGCAGTACCGTCGGAATCATGTTTGGTTCACCACGTATGCATACTCATGCAAATAAAAACACTGAATAGATTACAAAAATGTCGTAAAAGATTTTCAAAGAATTGTTTAACTGACTCCTAACAGTCAAACCATTGAGCTTAAACATTCTGTGGCTGCAATGTCCAGCGATGTATCTCCTCTTTGCTGAACAACGGTGTCTAGGAACTCAGTGACGCTGCATTCTGCATTTCCATTATCACCTAAGAAGTCTTTTTACACAAACTGATGACATTTCCCTTTACTTTATGGTTCTCTGGTCTTTCTTTTTTTTAAAAATTTATTGTGTGTGTGTGGCCAGCTCAGCCCACCAGGGGGCGGGTCTGGCTGGCATGTGGTGCTGGGGGATTGAACCGCGGTCCCTGTTCTTTGCTAAGCTTGTTTTAAATAGGTGCTTTAGACCACTGAGCCATCTTACCAGCCCCAAAGTGTGGGCTCCCCCCCCCCCATGGAAGTTTTGTTTGTTTGTTTTTGCGGAACTGGGGATTGAACTCAGGCTTTGCACTTGCCAGGCAAGCACTTATTCCACTGAGCTATCTCCCCGGTCTGGTCTTTATTTTCAAAATGACTTTTTGAAAGGAAAAGCATACATTTGTGCTAGGAAGTATCTGTTTTCATTAGAGAATCATAGTGACCAGAGAATAATTCTAATGCAAGTCAATTCCCAATAAGTGTTGCACAGTAATTAAACTCTGATCTCAGAAATAATCTGGCTCAGCAGTTTATCCAGACTTCAGCTTAAATAGGGCAAATTTTAAGTAACTCCAGAGGAAAGGGATAAAAATACAGTGAGAATAAAGAGCCATGCTTCCAGTATGAAAAGGAGACCAGGTATAGGGGCAATGTCCTTACATTCCTAGGACAAGAGAAATAAGGTTTCTAAGGTGTTCATAGTATGGACAGAGAAAAGCTTCCCTGACATGAGTGACCTCATGCAAACGTCTTACGTCATACGCTTCTTACACTGTATTCTTGTCTTACATGAAAGGCAGTTAATTGCATCTCCTCTTTTTAAACAGAATATTATCTCTGAGAAATGCTCAAGTGGGGAATGTCTTAATACTAAATACCTCTTTCAGTTATACCTTGTATAATAGGATGAAAGCGTTGTCTAGGGGAAATCAGGTGTCTGCCCAACAGGATAACGCCACCAGCGCCATACATCAGGGACCGTGGAAGTCAAGTTTGCATTTAAATAAACATGATTTTAATTTCTGAGACTACTGCTGACGATGGAAAGGGTCACTCAGGAGCTATGTTGGTCATGTGGGTCCACAGAAATTGAATTTAAGATAAAAAAAAAAATCACGCGTCCATATCATCCCTGACTATGCTATCTACCGTAACTCCAGTTCCACAGCTTTCTGCAAAATTATGTCCCCTTTAATTGAAAACACCACTGTAAATTTTCTACAGTCTTAATTATAAAGATTATCTTAATGCACTCTGGTTTATAAAGAAATGCACAGAAAAAGGAGAACAAACCTTTTTTAAAACTGTGAACCTTACTCTAGGAGTTTCTTTTAACCCTAGATGTATCTGCATCTTGAGGCACCCAACTCTCGCACCGTGGGCAGAGCCAGCCAAGTTCCCAACTGGAAACCTGTCAGCGTCCGGACGCATCATTCTGACAGACACATTCTATTTCTTGGCTGATTCTGAGAATAAAAATTTATACTCCTATCTCAGCAGAAAATAGATTTCATATCCTCATTTCCTGTGTCATAATCTTTACTGGAAAACTGGAAAGGATTTGTCTCAGGACGTTTTCACAGCCTTAGTTCGTTTATTGGGCTGATATTTTACGCTTGTTTGAAGCAGCAGGTCTTTGCTGTACGTGAATATTTTCCACGGCACGCAGAGAACAAACGTGGAAGACCCTCCTCAGCAGAGACAGAAGTGGGGAGGTGTTCAGCTTGTCTCGAGTATTCCTGAGGGCATTTCTTTTCTAGAGTCTGAAAACTGAGGCTTTTAATAGTAAAATTGCTACACTGTGGACAAATTTAAGGATATAATGATATATTGCTGGAAGGAAAAATAACATCGACAATCCTTTAAGAAATAAGATTGCTATCCTATTTCAAAGGATAAAATATTTATGACTAGTCAGAACTACTTTATTTTTAACTTTAAAATAAAAGAAACAGGATTATAAGTTTGCAGAGTTATACATTATTTTAAGATATCTTGCCACTTAATACTAGACAACCAATAATATTCCATTTTTAAAAAACAAATCCTCCTCATAATCACCAATTCTGATGATTTTTCATTGCTCAAAATCTTTATCTTAGAATATAAATCCTTCATCTTGAAGATTTCCTAATTCTAGTCTTACTGGTATTTGTAGCTGTTTCTATCAATTCTCTTTTCTGGAAGGCTACAATTGTATCTCCTCTTCCTCTGGCTAAATAGGTATAATTTCTAAATCTTAATTATTTAGTAACTTTGTTTCCTCAAAGTTTTTCTAATTTAGTCATGGAAGGTTTTGCCACCCCCAAGAACTCAGGCCAAAAGCCGTGTATTGCTGATTTTTACTTTGATACTATTTTATGCCTAAAAAAAGAAATCTTCAGCAGGAAGCATTTCTGTACCTATTCCTCTCAGCACTGTCGTTGTGCTTACTTTTAAAAAACTGCCTGGTTACCTTGCTACCCTCCTTGGCCGGCTACCTGCCCTCCCGGCGTCAACGTGGCATCAGGAGTGGCACCCTGGGACTGCGCTTGCGCATACCGCGCTTCTTCTGCGCACGTGTCTTCGATTAATCTGAGTTCGCCCTTTGGGGTTCTAACTCGTTCTTCATTTTCAATTTCCTTATGGATCTTGATTATCTTTACAAGTACTGAGTTTTACTTCTGTTACACACATCTATTCATTTAAAATGCCTATAAATAAATATAAATATGGCTCTGTTTAAACTACTATGCTAAATGACGCCACAGTGGAAATAAATACACAGCATTCTCTCTTAGGACTTAGGGAGCACCATCTAATTTGGGGCTGAAAAGGAAATTTTATTTCCAAGTTTCTATATCTTCTTGACAAAATTCTGCTAAAATTAGTATTTTGTACAATTAACACTTCAAGCATTTCCCACTCTGTTTAGAGACTAGTTTTTGATAGATTTTGTTCTGGAAAAAATAAATGCCCTGCACACTCCTCAGCTTAACTGGGTCATAAACCAGAGGGCGGGTGTGGGACAGCGCCAGGAGCCCTGTGACAGCAAGAGGGCTCCAGCCTCTCAGAACGCGGTCCCATTCCCCAGCAAGTGACAGATGACAAAGGAAGGTGTTCTGAGGTATCAGTAAAAAGGCGTGTCTCCCCCAGGCACAAAGCCCACTAAGAAGCTGCACCTTCCAAGGTGCAAACTCAGGACTCCAAAAAGAAAAGACAGAGCGGGCGGGTCTGCTTTCTTCTGATGAACTCACTTAATGAAACCCAGTATGTCACTGACACTGGTCCCTGGCAGGTAGTGTGCCTGTCACCTGAGGACTGTGTGCAGGACTGACAGAATGGCATCACAGGTGGGCTCAGGCGTGTGACAGCTACCATCAGGACCTGCGTGCAGGTCTGTTTTGATTCTGCACTCTGACCTGAATCCCTATCTCGGTGGAGACTTCAATAGTTTAGGCCAAGTTGCATAAGCCATGACCCCCTGAAAGGCAGCACTCGTGTAAAGAACACAGAAGCTCTTGGCTGCTTTGGTAATAACAGTGACCACCACTCGACAGGTGCACACCTGTCCGAAGCTCCCGTGTGTGCTTGATGACCGGCCTCTGCTGGACACCTGCAGTGCACTCATCCTGCCCCCCGCCCCCCCACTGCGCAGCCGGGTGGCTCTGCGGCGGTCCTGGGTGTGCCCTGCACTGGTAGCTGTTCTGTGTGCTAACAGTGAGGACCCTGTTCATTTGGGAGAGAAATTACCGACACATGAAAAGGCGAAAATTTTCTGGTTTTAAATAAGTTAAGGCTACTGACAAAGACAAGGAATCAGGGCTAGCCGCCCTCGAGAGGGATGCGGCCTCAGAGACATCGCAGCTGTGGTACCTCTTTTCCTTTATTTGTCAGGTTATGTGCAAAACAAAATTTTGCTATGAAAATCCACTGCCTTAAATCAAGTCATAAAAGTTACCTAGCAGAATCTGTAAATTAACTAGGAATGTGTCTTATCAATATAATAGAATGACTTGTAGGCACCTGAGTATTTGTCAAAAGTAGACAATGGGCAAAGGTTTAGTATCTATATATCTTTTGGCAAGGACAATTCATTATGAAAAACAAATCTAACAACAACAAAACATACAAGTTCAATCAAAAATCTGAACACCATCAGCGTAAATGACCTAGCCAAGGCTGCCTTACACCTAGCCATGTGTAGTTTTGTTCTTGATACTGTTTAGCAGGAAAGACTCATAGTAGGACCTTGAATTTGGAAGAAAACAACCCAACTCTGGTCGTTAATTAACACAGCCTTTCTTCCCTTCAGGTGACGTAGCCTTATGTAGCCCCGTCTCCACACGCGGCCACACACAGGGAGAGGCAGCACCAGTACATCTAGTCAACACAATTTAAAAAAATGAAGGATGCCACGGAAGCTCAAATAAGCCAAGGAATCATAATGTGGTCTCTTTCTTAGAATTACTTACTGATGTCCAGTGTAGAATTCTAGTTAAAACAAAAACGAAAACCAGCAGTTAATAAGCTACTGATTAGAAGTTCATAAACAATATCAGTGTAGCAGCAAAAATACAGTTATTTTAACATTCGGATGCACCTCATTTATCACTTTGTGCAAGGAAAATGACCACCGGCTGGCCAGTTCCAGACTTCGAACTAAATTAAAGCTCCTAGAGGATCGAACAAACTATGCTTATTTGAAAATAAGCGAATTAAATTCACCTCTCACAGAAATTATTCTTACAGGCATAAATTATATAGCAAATGAAGTACAAAACTAAATATCAATGACAAAAAGATATGTCGCTGAGTGTGGCTTGAGGAGAGCTCGTCTTCCCATGCACGCGTTGCACACCGTCCTGGGCCCCTCAGGCTGCGGAGGGCGAGCCGCCGCCGGTGGAGACGAACCACCTGTCCTCTCCGTCTTTGATGTGGCTGAACTGAGCCGGCGATCGATCGCAGTTCGCAGTGGCCCAGAGAAACCGCGCAGTTTCGTCGCAGCGGGGCTGTGCTTTGCGTTCCTCTTCCCAAACGTCGGACAGAGACCCCCGCGCCTCTCCGGACCGAGAGGAGGACGCCGCGGGGTCCGGGCAGGTCCTGCGCGGCCGGAGCGAGGGCGGGCGGCGGAACCTAGGGGCAGGGCGGCTTGGCCAGGCAGTGGAGCGGGGCGCACGGGGGGCTGGCGGGCGGCGGCTCCTCGGGGAGGGCGGCGTCAGGACTGCAAGGAGAAAGAGCGGTCAGCGGGCCGGGTCCTGCAGGGGCGCAAGATCCGCGCGCACGCGGCGCACAGCAAAGCACGCCCTCCCGGGCAGCCGCGGCTGCAGCAGGCGGCGCGGCGCGGGAAGAGGGGCTGCGGCGCAAGCTTCCTGCGAGCGGAGCTCGCTCACGCTTTGCAGGCGCCGGACCAGGCACCGGCCGGGCGCCTGCGGGCGGACCTTGCCGGTGCTGCACCCCGGCTCCTCCGGAGGCGCACCTGGGCGTCCTGCCCAGACTCGGGGGCTCAGCAGGCCGAGCCCAGCATCTGTGCTCTCCGGAGCGGGCTCACCAGCACAGCCGGCGCGGTCGGGAGCGGGGCCTCTGGAGCCTCGGCCACACGGCCCTGCTCCGGCTGGCTGCCAGGCGCTTGGCGGGGCAAGGAGGCGAAGTCTGAATTTCCTGTGCGCGGTACACAACTGAGTTCCGAGCGTTTGCAAAACAGCCAGCCAAAAGTGAGGATGAGGCACCAAGGGGTCTGGTGGTTTTGGTTTTTTTTTTTCACTTGTCGAAAAGTTGGGTAGTTTTCTAAAAAGGGATATTTTCCTGGATACTATGAAATTTAGTTCCATAGATTTCATTTCTGCCAGGAGAAACATTTGAAGATTATTTTGTTCATTTAGTTTTTGAAAGTAATATTATCTTTGGAGCCACTAGAAATCATTGCTAATCTATTTGTTGTTTTTGACTTTTCTGGTACTGAGGCTTGAACACAGGACCTCTGCACTAACCAACATCTCAGCTCCTTTCAAGTTTTTAAAATTTTGACACAAAATTTCACTAACTTGCCCAGGCGGGACTTGAACTTGTAATTCTCCTGCCTCAGCCTGCCAAAGTGCTGGGATTATAGGCATGTGCCACTGTTCCCAGTAAGACAAGGAAATGTTTTAATCTTTTGGAACTGGAATCATTCATGTGTCTCTCTTATAAAATCGTAATTCTGTAAAACATTATCTGCTTGAAGTTTTCTTACTTTCCAAGCTCTGTGAACTGTGGTGATTTTTTTGTTTGTTTTGGTACTAGGGACGGCACCCAGGAACATTCAATTCTACTGAATGAGAACCCAGCTCTTATGTATCTTTATTTATTTATGGTACCAGAGATTGATCTCAGGACCTTGTGCTTGAGCTATCTCCCCAGCCCTGTATTTTTTATTTTGAGGCAGGGTTTTACTAATTTGCCCGGGTGGGACTTGAATTTACGATCTTCCTTTCTCCGCTTCCCTCAGTGGTGGGATGACAGGCTGGTGCTACATGCCTTCTTGAACTGCCATCAACCAAGTTGAAAAGGAGACTGCCCCAGTTAGGATAACTGGTGTAAAAACTACTACCCTGCCTGTCTTCAAGCTGGTGGTAAAACATGAGACAATGTGACCTTCCGCAAAGTCTAAGAAAACAGTGGGCGGTACTGATTAAACTAAGCGAGGCACAGTACCCAAGTGTGTAACCCAGGACTCGGGAAGGACATGAGTTCAGGTCCCGCCCAGATGACAGAGTGAGACCCTGTCTCAAAAAGCCAAAAATAAACAAATAAACAAACTAATTAAAATATGCCCTTTAAAATCCGAAGAAAATAATGCACGGCAAGAATCCTCCTGCCTGTCCCACCCGAGTCAGACAGTGGGAAACGGGTGGATGGGTGGATTTACAGAAAGAAACCGTGAGCTTCCCTGTAGCATTTGCAGAAGGGATCCCCAATTTCTTTTTAGAGAATTACACATGTTGGGGCAGGTGAGATAGTTCAGTGGACTAAGTGCCTGCTTAGGCAAGTGCAGGGACCGGGCTTTGATCCCCAGCCCCACATGCTGTGCTGGCCCCGCACTGAGCCAGCCACTGAGTCTGGGTGTGGTGGCGCACGCCTGTAATCCCAGCACTGGGGAGGCTGAAAACAAAAAGATCGCTACAAGTCCGGGCTGTGTAGTGAGACCCTGTACCAAATACATTAAAAAAAAAAAATTAAACATGTTATGCAACATAAATTCTAGTGAATAGTCTAGAGTGGTCACACTGTGCAATGACACATCGGTGAAGATCATGAGTTAGTGCGCTTTTTGATAAAGCAGACAGGAACGCACTGGTGGACGCTGAGGTGTCTCGCCACGGCACACGCTGGCTGCAGCTCACTTGGCCTGACGCGCTGGCATGACGTCAGGCATGACGACATAATAATCTGCACCACTTCAGAGTTAAAAATATTATACATCACCTGCGATTATCTTAAATTTGCACAAAATGGAATCA